GGGGGGTAGAGGTACAGGAGGAAGTGGCTGTGGGGGATGGAGTGGTAGGAGGAATGAAGGAGAGCAGCAGTTAGGTGAGGGTGGGGTAGGCTTCCCTGAAGAGGTGGGTTTTCAGGGAGCGCCTGAAGGTGAGGAGGGAAGGTGACAGTCTGATGGATTGGGGTAGTGAGTTCCAGAGGATGGGAGAGGACCTGGAGAAGTCTTGCAGACGTGCGTGTGAGGAGGAGACCAGGGAGCAAGATAGAAGGAGGTCCTGTGAAGAGCGAAGGGTACGGGTAGGGTGGTACTTGGGAATCAGGTTGGTGAGGTAGTTAGGGGCAGTGTTGTGAATGGCTTTGTAGGTCAAGTGAGTAGTTTGAATTTGATGCGTTGGGCGATAGGGAGCCAGTGGAGGGAGAGGCAGAGGGGGGTGGCAGAGGTGGAGCGGGTGGTGAGGTGGATGAGTCTAGCCGCTGAGTTGAGGATGGTCTGAAGCGGGGAGAGCCTTCAACAAAAGGGAACACATTTTTAATTCATACTTTATATACTGTATATTCTGTATATATGTGTTTAAATTGGTGAGACAACTTTTATTGAGTCTCTGAAGATTCTCATTTATCCAGGTAGTGTAGTAGTAATTAGTCACATTAAATTGAACTTGATCTGTATACAAATTTCCAAACCTTTCATCATGTTCTTGGACAATCAACATCTGCCGTGACACATTCCACAGTGAATGGAATAAGGTGACGGAGTTACCAGTGTAGCTATAAATGCTGGGGTATATTCCTGACACTCATTAGAACTAAAGAAGCTTCTATTTTAAGCAGCAAAACATCTTCAACATTTCAGAACATGTCCGGTTGAATGCGACAAACTTCTAGTGGTGGCTTTAATTAGCTTCTTTTATTAGTACGTTGTGTAATTATTTACAAACCTTCTTCATGATTAATTTCCATGATATAAATTACAAATTAGATTCACAAATTTACTAAAGGAGTAGAGGCTGTGGGCTTTGACTGCACTGGGGATTAGCCTACATGCAGAACAAAAATGACTTTGTGTTTATGTCTTCATATTCTACTTCCTTTAAATCCTGTTCTTAAAGTCAGACTTTTATTTTTCTGCTCCACATTTATGGTTGCTGGAATCCAGTATCTATGAGTCTTTGGTAGCTTAGTCTTCACAGCCATTCACGCTAATTTATAGTGTCTCTGTTTTAAAAAAAAAGAAACAGTTTGTATGATTTACTGCTTGCATAAAAGGAAACCATTAAAATAAGAAATATGTGTTTTTGAGTTAAACTATTACACTGTGAAATTATGTTTTTTCCCATTGTTAAATGTACATTTACTGGAGTCAATAGGAAGCCATTGACAGACACAGACATTGAGCTTGGCTTAATGTAAGATTCAAAAAAAGGTTTTCTGTAAAATACAAGGGCATTATACATCTCATGGGCGTTTTGTGAGCTTATATAGGAATTTAAAGGTGTATATTCTTATAAAGGCCCCTTGACTCAAAAAAGACCTTTGGTCATTTTGTTTAACATTAGAGTGCACAGTAGGTCTTGTGTACAGTATGAACCATTGTTCCTTCTCAAACAACAAGGTTTGTACAACTTTCCTTGTTTTAGTACTGAAGATGAAGCCATTATATAGGAAAGTGAAGGGACAGGAGTCAACAGGAAGGGGAAATGGTTAATGTCTGTCCAATTCTTGTACATGTATTAAATGTTGGATACCATCTCATTTGTGGTAGGCGGTTTAGCTCCAATTGCTTTTGTTCATTTATAATATACTCCATGTGTTCATCTTTGTCTACTGCAGCCTGTTGTATTGGAATTCCAGGTTGAAAAACCCAGCACTTTCATATATGCATCACACAGCCACAATTGTTTTTTTTCTTGTTTACATTACCTATTTTGAGTGAACTTGTGGTCAGACTATAGACATTAAAGTATTTGCATATTCTTAAAAGGAAGTACATTAAAAGAAGCCTTCACTGACCTCTGTAGCTGCAGGGACTGTGGAATAATCCATTCTCAGGGATCACTAATGAGTATTTCATGATTGACTATAGTCTGTTTCTGAACAGCTTACATTACAAGCTGCTTATTTACATTAGAAGCCTAGAAAGAGAAACAAGAAAAAGCAAGGGGAGATGAGCTGTTGTGAACTTTCCCACAGTACCTTTAGCTACAGAGTGTTTTTTTAAACACATGGACTACCTGTAATATGCAACTAATGCACTTTTGAATGTCCATATCATAGCCACAGGTTTACTTTAAACAAATACTAGATATGCAGTACATTGCAAGTTGATTCACGGTAAAACATTTTGCAGCTGAACTCCAGGCAAACAGCTAAATATACAATTTGCATTTTTTTCTGCAATATATTAGCATTTCTGTCCATCTGGTTCTGAAGTTTACAAAACTCTGCCACAAAGTACAAACATGCATAGGGCAGCCCATTGAAGTTATTGGGCTGCCCTATGTGCAACATGCAGAAATGCATGTGAATCACACTTTTAAAATTACTAGGAGGAACCCACGTTTTTCTGCCAAGTGATATCTGAACAGGGTATCAAACGATGTGAACAGGAGTTTCATAACATGGAATGAAACTTGATAAACCTGTGAATTTGATCCCTTTAAACTAGATTGCTTTCCTGTTTCTATTCAATTTAACTGTTGTTACACTCTGAAGTATTTCATAAAATGAAATAAAACCACTTTTACACTGGAATCACCTATCAAATTTAACTCATTATTGTTAACAACTTTTTAAAAATAATCAGGACTTCAGCAACATCTATTCTCAGTTTAGTGAGTTGGACATAAAGGACAGAGGTACCGTATGCAGTTTTTGCAGGAAATATGTCTCACTATAAATCAGGGTTTCTCATCCAGGGTTCCACAGAACCCTAGGGTTCCTCCAGAGGTTGCTAGGGGTTCCTTGAGAAATGAGCAATTTCTGCCTCTCATATAAGTTCCCGCCAACACCATTGATCATTTGAGATTTTTGTAAGGGGGTAATTCTTTCTAATGACCACAAGTGTAAGGAGCAATCTTCCCACTGAATTTAACTCTAATGTATCATGAATTGTAGATATAGTCATTTTTATTATGGGTTCCCCAAGCCTGGAAAGTTATCTCAAAGGTTCCTGTGTATTGAAAAGGTTGAGCAAGTCTGTCATAAGTAAAATCATCTCCATATCGTGCAGGTAGTAGAAGAATGAGCAGAAGGTGTTCATAAAACAACCTATATTGCAGTTGCTGGCACTGAGACAAGCCTGCCTGCAATAGAAAAATGCTATTTTTAATTAACTAAACTGAACATCTGAATTTATCTAATTGAGATCTGTAGCTCTCTAATGCTGAAATATATTGCTGGAGAGAAGTGATATATAGATGGATATTGGGTCATTAGTAGATGATGAGGTTACTAAATGAATGAAGCTCTGTAAAAAGAATAGAATACAATGAATGGATGTTCTAATGAATGAGAAATGAGAAATTACTTCTGCTATTTAGAATCCAAAATAGGTTAATCTGCTCAGACATGCTTTTAATTGTTCTTATGTGCATATTATAAAGAAATAAATGATGATAGTCCCGTTGAGAGTTGTCTTTTCCACAAACACTGCTTGTAAGAGGCATAAAGATGTTATGAACAGTAGGGGGCAAGTTGCTTTCAACAACTGAGCTGCTTGAAACAAATGTAGATTAATATAATAGCAGGAAAATTAGGGTTTTTAGCTAAAGTCTTACAGACAAAATTATAGACAGCAATGCAATGTAAAATAAATGTTTATTCTTTAAGAAATTATGCGAAAGGAAGCTGAGAATTATATTGGTTCTTTGGCAGCTGCCCATTTCTGCAAAGACAAGAACTTGCAGTTTCAGTGTTCACTTGCAGTGCCACCTCTTGGTGAAATTTAGTACTGCAAATGCTTAAATGAAAGTGTAGTGGTACTAAATGCAAAATAAAAAATTACACATATGATGCAGTCTGTTACTAGCATTAACATAGCTGTCTTTGTTGTTTTATCTGTTATTATCTTTCAACTTCCTGTAAAGTGATTGTAAAGTTATTTTTTGCATGGTATACTTGCCTGTTCTTTGCAATGGTATTGCACAGAGCAGCCCTGAACCTCATCTTCTGGGGTCCCCTACTGGTACTCGAGACTCCTTTCTTCTACGTGTGACACCATAGGAAGCCGCTTCCTATGGTGGCACAAGTTCAAGCTGACTCCTGAGCCAAGCTCTGTTTGTCCGTTGACACACAAAGCGCAGCTTGGCCCGGACCCCGCTCTCTCCTCACTGGATTGACCGACAGTGGCAGGAGCCAATGGCTCCCACTGCTCTTGGCCAAGCCTGTGAGAGAGAGAGGCTCTCTGCAGACAAGAACATCTCTGGGTTGATACAGGAGTCAAGTAAGTATTTAGGTAATGGGGGGAAAAACAAGCACTGAGAGGTTTTATATCTCAATGCATTAAGATAAAAAACCTTATGACTTTAGAACCACTTTAAAATATGAAGCTGTGCAGCCAAAGTGGCAGTTACAGGGTTGAGACAAACCAGGCAGGGGTGTTTACAATGGCCAGATTTTTTCATTTGGTTAACACTTTTATCCCAAAATGAAAGAAAAACTGTTTTTGTAGCCACTTAAAAAGTGTTACTTAGTCAGTTATGTAAAGTCCATCTAAATCTGCTAGTCCACCTAACACTACCCTCTTCAGACAATGCTGCTGTGCAAGGGTGAGTCCATTGCTCCTCCATAGATAGAGATGTGTTACTGCCTGAATCACCAGGTACAAAATAAAGACAAAAAAGTGTAGAAATGGAAAAATAATGCAGCCACCACACTTATGGATTGGTAAGCAGCAATATATATTACATTTTTGCTTTTGAGTTTAATACGGCTTTAAGTATAATAATTATGTTTTACGAATGTATAATGTTTGATTTGGGATGCAATGTCTATTTTGCCTTGAGTATTGTCATGTGGCTTAACTGATGTAACAAGAAACAAATAATCCATCTAAAACTTAAAGTGTTCCTAAACCCAGGACCCTGCATTCACTCTATCTGGTTTCCCACAGTACACAGAACATGGAAATGCAATTATTTTAATAACTATAAACTGCTAGTTACCTTTTCTCATCAGCAGTTAGAGCAGTCTTGTGATGTCTATCAGCATCCAGCCGGGCACTGGTTAATGCTTGTAGGAGGAGTTTTCATTTTGCTCTAGGAGGATGCAGGACCCCTGACCTCTTTCTGGACAGTGCTGATTGACCCTGTGCTGATCACATGCACTCTTCCAAAAAAAAAGAAAAAAACATTTTAGCAATACACACCAAACCATGCATGTGCAGAGTGACCCCAAACGATATGTCTTATCAGGAGATAAGAGGGGACACTGGAAGAAGGGGAGGATCAGAGACGTCAGGATCAAACAGCCTTTTTACACAGTGCAGAGGATTAACCCCTTAGGTTCCACAGTGAGTATAACAAGCATGCTTTACAGCATATACAGACTGGTTTTACTGTTGTGCATTTATTAACTCTTTAACTATTTTTCATACCATAACATTTGTATACAGAGAGCACATATCAGTTTGGTACCTCAAAAACGTAAAAACATATAACCTTAGTTAAAATTAGCCAACCATCACATTATATATATAGTCTTTGGACACCTGAAACAATGTAACCTGTACATCCAGAGGTCTGTGCCTTTTGTGGCATTGTGCTGCTTCCTGAGGACTCAGTGTGCACTGGGCTTTATATAAAGAACTCTGGTTGGTGGTAACATAAATTTTAGATGATCTGTAACAAATCACAAACATAAGTACTTATTTACATTTAAGTTATAATCAAGTACATTATATTGATAGTCATCTTGTCCATTATATTTACTTAGGAAATGTGTCCAAAATGAAATAGACTGATCTGTCCCCATGATGCTTTTTTACGAATTACCACCAGCTATGTATGGTACCACTTTCCACCAGGTATGGACACATCAGTGCCAACCTGCTCATATCTGAGAAGAGGTACCCAGAGAATCCAAAAGGGGTTATTGGCACACTAACCCTAACTATGGCTAGTGTTGCAATAACCCCTTCCCCCTCCCCTATGGAAGGAAAGAGGTGGGTCCCCAGGGGCAGCATAGAATGATGGTACTTGCTAAGTGTGAAAGTATGCCAAAATGGTTGCTTATTAGGTGGCCATGTCAATGTGAACTCCAAGAGACTTGATTCACCTCCCTGCGCCCTACTTCATATATCCCCACCTCATCCAAGCCAGAAAAACACCTTTGGGTCATAGAGGAGATGGCTTCCCATTGGGTCATTCTGCATTCCACGCTGTGATGTCACATGCACCATTGGCATGTCAGCATTACTCAGACTGCCCTTTTGACGTGGCAGGTAGTTCACAAACTATGTTGCACATGCACCACATGTGCATGGGGCAAAACTGTATCATGTGCCAGGCATCTAGTGGTGTTTTACTGAAGTCATATATCCTTTACTTTTGGACGTTTATTAATTTGATATATATATACACTATTACTTGTTACTAATCACTTAAATCACTGGATTGCATTATATTATGATCAGTTTGCACTGTTGGTTTGATTGAATATAACAGGTTTATTTATTGGTGGTCACTAATATTTTGCTTTATACCAGAGCAAGCGCTATTATAAATTTTCCATATAATCCTTAAGCCTCACATTGTGGGACCCATTTGTGAAAATCACCATTCCTAACATAAGGATGAATTCTAGCAAGCATCAGGAAACACAGGTCATCTGTCTGGTAGTCACGGTAGCTTGTGAAGTGTCTCAGTGTTTGAAATTTCTATTACATATATCATGAGTATCATCATAGATTTCTTGCACTAGTGCACATTTAGTTCCTAGATATTAGGTTCTGTATCAGTCATACCAGTTGCTCTACAGCTGGCAAAGTGTGAAGACCTATATGTACTTCTATTGGGCAACCTAAACTATGAATTGACCATAGGGACATGACCTGCATTTAAATTTACCATGCAAGAGAAACCTTCTTGGATCCCTTTTACTAAAACTAGAGAAATGACTAGGCACTAAGAATGTTTACATGACATTCTTTATAGAATTTCATTAAATTGGGTGATAATTCAAGACTGACCATTTGGTATAATAATATATGTCTCTCTAGAACTAGCCTTGGCTCATTTATATGCCTGTTTTAACAATTTTTGTTACTATATCCCCATCCTCTGTGCAGTGTTTTATGTTTTTCTGGTTCACGTTCAAAATTAGGCATATTGGTGCAATTTTGTCTGAATCTTAAATATTGATCTATTGGTATACTTTGAATGAGTTGTTTTGGATGTAAGTTATCTTCATGTTAATTCTTCATGAAGTTATTTTTTCATCTTCATTCTGACATCAAGAATCCCTCCTCCTTTATTTTTAAGAATTCTATTACACATTTGCATACATTGTTGGGGTCCATAATTGTGATGTTCCATCCCCTCAGATGATTTTATTATAATCTGGTAATTTTTGCTAAAATTGTCTAAGGGCCGATACTGTATATTGTTGAGGTTCCTACGGAACAGTATTTTTAAATTTTTTTTTTTTTACATTCTTTATTTATTAAAGGGTTTCATCACATACACAGAAAATAGTGAACAAAAACATTTTGCCAGAGTCAACAGTATCGACATTGATATAGTTTCAGATAATTTAGAAGAATAAGTATTTTAAAATATTTTTAATGTCTTTCTCAACTTTCTGAAAATAAAGTTCCACACTACTATTTATTTTTAAGGGAGGATTTTATTTTATTTTGTCAAATTTCGGTTTCATCAGAGTTCCCCATAGTTTTATTGAGGTATAAATAAATGCTGCGCTGCCACTAGTGATTAAATGTGCCACACCCCGTTCGTGATGGTGGTCCACAAATAAATATGACCTCTATATAAACATATAAACATAAAAACTTAAAAGTGCACCCCTCCACGTATCCCTATTTAAATTTAAATAATTGTATTCATTATTAAAATTGATTTCTATTGAGTATATTAGGGCTCTGGGGCCCTGGAAACATGGACGCCGGGTGTTAATTTATGTTTTATGTTTTCTATACAAAAAAGGTCTCTTTTAAGGGATATATTATTAATTGTTTAGTCTAGTCCCCTTCTTGCCTATACATTTGGCTTAATATTAAGGTATAGGTTTTTAGTTTTTTTATTGGTATATAGGAGTACAATAGATTGTAAATGTCCACCATATCATGGTGGCCGTCCGGTTGCCATGATGACCGCCAGGATATGGGTCTGTGGCCTGGACTCATCGGTGTTGCTGGGTGGGTAGGCATCTGGGTAAGGGCCCCTTGAGAAGAGTGCTGGTTAGAGTAATAAACCTCAATTCCCCGGACCCTGATGTGATTCTGATCATCTCGGGCGCCTGAATGGTGGCCGTTATATCAGGAACACAGTAGTATACACTAGGAACAGACCAAAGCAAAATGGCAGTGGGCAGGACTACAGCAAAATTGCGACCACCAATCAATATTAATTGATTACAGGATTTTGGGGGGTAGATATGAATGTGATGATCCCACAATTGCTGCCACCAATATGTGACGAACCTGGCGTCAGACCCCTGACCTTCTCACCAAACTCGTGACCGAAGGACTGGCCAATCTAAAACCGCGATGTCACGAGCGTAATAATGCCACACCCAGCTGCACCCTGCGTAACAATTTTCCAGCAAATTGGACCACAATCTATGTACCAGCAGCCTGGGAGCGATTGTTACTGGATCAGGTTAATTATGCAAATAACCCTTCACTCTGCGATATCAGCTATAACACTATAATGGTTGAGATAATCGTCTGTATAACACGGTCACCACAGGCCGGTTATACAGAGGGTTAAACAAACACAGTAGCGCTCTTTTAGAGGCAGGAATTCGTACATTGCAATAAAGAGTTGTAGAAACAGTTCAACGCTTTCAGAAAGACAGAGCGAAAGGGTACGGGTCTCCCCCAGGTGGTTCTGATGTTAAAAGGGAGAATTCTTCAACTTAACTCTCTTAGGCCTGACAACCCATTTTGTAGTTCCCCAGCAGGGGGTGTCTCTGAAGTCAAGGACCAATACCCCGTTTAGGGAGGGATCGTCTGGGCATAGGCCTAAACTAGAGCAAAAATCTCTTATAGTTCATATTTTGGCTCATAACTTTCCATATGCACAAGTGACATTCCACCCACGGGAAGAATATTATGCAGACACATCTGAGGAATGATTATATATGAAATATGAAATTATACACTGAATGGTTCAAGAGATCTGCTTTCCTGCTTTCCTCTGTATTCCAGCCAAGGAGAGTGACCTATCAAACTGTTTGTCTCCTCGTGGCCCATTTGAAGATATGCCTGGTTTTTCTGTAAGTCTCTCATATTCCAAGATATGAGACATAGGGGAAAAATGGATTTTAAAAGTGTTATCTGGTTCGTGCTGCGTTGGAATGTGTTTGAACTCCTGGGAAGGCTTGCATTATCTTTTACGAGGTGCTATATTGCACAGCTTTCTTAGACAGCCAGGCGCTCAGCTCATAGAGGTGTATAGCTCTGGGCTCCCTGCTGGGCTCTGGCCTGTGACACTTTTTAACACACAGGCCATATGTCAATGTGTATGAACAGAGAGGAAGGGGGGAGAATGAGGGGACAAAATGGAGATTTCTTGACAAAATGGAGGGCAGCGTCCTTCACTGTGTGTACGCTTGTTACAATGAACACTTAATGGGGTGCTCCAGCTCCGCTCCTGATGATGTCATACGGCGAAATGCATAGGGCAGGGCTTGACAGCGCCACTTTTGTCTCTTGAGAGGGCATACAGAGGATTGCAGTGTCCTAGGATTTTTAAAGTGCCATACACATGCTTTACATGTAAGTGCAATTTTAAGTGTCTTTTACTTACTAAAAGCAATGTTACACTATGGAGGCTCTTCTTTGATGTTTTTTCACAGTGGTGGAGGAGTATTGTGGATGGTCCAGAGTGTTTTTTCATATATGCAGTCTGTAACCAATGGATAAATGCATCAAGAATATACAGGTAGCTGATCGCTGTAGGGGTGTGCTGAGGCACCAAACGTGCAGTTTGACCTACCCATGCAGGTGGTCAACATCTTTGGGTGAGTGGGGGGCTCTGGAGGGGTGCACTAAGTGGA